CTCCGTCGCTTCGGCCTCCGCTGCCCCCAGCGGCATCCTAGGCCGTGGCTCAACGCGTAGAGCCCGCGCCCACGACGTGGAGATGGTGGGCCAGCTCGTGGGCATCATGATGGTGTCGTGCATCTGCTGGAGCCCGCTGCTGGTGAGGGGCGCACCGGCCCCTTCAGCCAAGTTCTTCCTGCTCCCGCCTGGGCCCCTACTACCTTTTCCATCCGAGGATATTCCTGTCCTCTCTCTCTTCCCCAGCCAGAGTCCCGCCCCCTTCAAGCCCCACCTGTCAAGAAAGCCCGCCCTTTGTCCTCTCCCTGAAGTCCACCCCTCCTCCAAGCCCCCTGATCTTACTCCTTCTTGGGGTCTTCGTAGTTCACCCCAACCCCACAAGCTTCCTCCCCAGCCGCACACCTCTAGGCCCTGACACTCCATTCTCTGGCTCCATTCCCTTCAGCCCTCTGCCCTTTGGGACACCTGGGATTTCTCTTCTTTCTAGTCCGAGCCCCACTCAATGAAGGCCTTTGCTTCTCCGCGTCCTTTGAGGCCCCGCTTCTTCGCCGATCTTTCCATAGCTCCTTTTCACGAAGACACCCATTTTCCTCCGTGACGCTCACAACCCCCTTACCTTCCAGTCAAGCTCCCATCCATCCCAGCCCCACCCATCGCTGGGCCCCTTCTCTGACAACCACTCCACCGCTCACAGCGGCTTCTCCCGCAGGTGTTGGTGGTATTGGCCGTTGGGGGCTGGGGCTCCAGCTCCCTGCAGCGGCCGCTCTTTATGGCCGTGCGCCTCGCCTCGTGGAACCAGATCCTGGACCCCTGGGTGTATATCCTGCTGCGCCAAGCCGTGCTGCGCCAACTGCTTCGCCTCCTGCCCCGGAGGCCCGGCGCCAAGGGCAGCCCCGCGCTGGGTCTAACCAGAAGCACCTGGGAGGCCAGCTCGCTGCGCAGCTCCCGGCACAGTGGCCTCAGCCACTTCTAGGCACACCCGGAGGCCCAGCAACTAAGCCAGACCACTCCATGCCGGGGAAGGTCCGCAGCGCGGAGCCTTCGAGGAATAAAGCC